ACATTGAAATTTGAATTCTAGATCTGCCACTTAGAGGTTAACAACATGACCACTTCACTATGTTGCCTTGACTTTTGTAATATATATTATTTTTAATTAGATATTATAAATAATAAATAATGATTAATATATAATTGTCTCTATAGGCAATATACAAGTTGCAAAATTTATAACAAATTATAAAATAGTTCTTATAACAGCAATTTTTGATAAATTTTACCAAGTATGATATCAATTATTTATTTGATATATTTTAAAAACAATAGAAATAATTTTAAAAAACATGTCAATATTAATAAATTTATTAAGACTGTTCAGAAGCTTACATACAATAATAGTTTAGAAATTTATGATATTAAACAAAATTATGAAGAAAATTCTCAGAGACCAAATTATATATGTATGAAACTTGGATGCTATACAAAAATAGGTGGCTTATATCATATATAAAATATAATATAAATCTTGATATAAAATCAAATTAACATGTAAAAAGTTTTTATAACAAACTAAAAAAAATTAAAATCAAATTAATCTAATTGATAAATAGCTAATAATTTTGATAAGTTTTTTTTATTTTATTCTTTTTATTTTTTATTTTTTTACTTTTATTTATTTTTTTTTGAATTTATAAATTGCTTACAATTACTTTATGCCAATTACATGAAGACTCACAAAAACTTGTATACAAAAATTTTTATGCCAGAACAAATATACAAATAATAATGTAAATATAGATTTTGAAGAGTTATAACTTATATATTTATAATTTGAATTTGAGTTATTTGTAAAGCAATAAGAAAATTTTATGAAATCTGATATTTATAAGATGTTAAAAAATAATAATAGTACATATAATATAATGAACATTAATAATAAAACTAGCACAATTTATAATGTATATATTGAAATGCTTAGAACTTGTATATGCTTATATTTACAATAAACTAAACTCTATGTAAATATATTATTTTAGTTTATTTATTATATTTCATACTTGTATTCTATTAAGTAAAATTTATTAGCATTAGTATGTAAAATATAATGAAGAAATAAAACATACAGCTTATACATATATTGGCAAATTTTTGATAATTTCTATATTTTTATTATAATAATTTTATAGTTCTAATGTAACAAGTTTCTAATTATAAAATATAGAAAAATACTAAAATTATTATTATAATTAAATAATGTCTTGTCAACAAATATTTTTTAAACAATTAGTATTAATAATATAACAAATTATAATAAAATCAAAATGCCAATTATTAAGTATATACATGGATAACTGAAAAAAATAAGCATATTCATAGCAAAGATAAAAACAAAAAAAACTTTAAAAAAAATTACTATTAGTTAAAAATTAAATACAAATAATGATAAAAAAAATTTATTAATTTTTCAAAATAAAATATTATATATACATAATCTAATTTTAGATTGTTAATGTAGATTTAAATCATTAGCAGTAGTTTTTTAAAGATAAAAAAAAATAGAAAAACATTAAGTTAATTATGAAAAATTACTTAATTAAACTAAAGTTCTATAGAAATATACTTAAATATAATACAATCTGTTTTATAGTAGTATTATCATATTTAAAACAAATATGTTCAATGCTATTCTGTTTTATTTTTCAGAATGTGCATAGTTAATATCAGATATATTTAATTTATTAGTTATAATTTTGAATATAAACTCTATAACAAGTCTTTTATTTTTACTATATAATCAAAAATCTGATTATTATAAAAAACTTATTATTTTGCAATAATATAGACATAATTATATTATATTAGTTCAACTTAAACCAAATAAGAAATTCAATCTCTATCTTTAAATTCACAATATAAACCAATTTGTTACTAGTTTAATTTTTTTAAAAGTTGACTTATGCTATTTTTATAAATTAATAATATTTTTTTATTGTCATTTAATTTTTTATATTTTATTACTTTTGCTTTATATTGATATAATATACATTTAGTATCTGTTTTTGTAAATATTTTAGTAAGTGATAATATAACTCAAATGTTTTTATATATATATAAATTTTAAAGATAGTATTGTTTATTGTAAGTTAAAAATTTATATATGAATTTATAAATTGTAAGGTTGAAAATTTGTTGAAATAAATTTTAATAATGTTATTGAAGTTAATGAAAAAATCTTCATATTGGAATAAATGCAAGTATTTAATAAATTATGTTTATTTCTAAAACTTATCTATGAATTTTTATATTGATTTTAATTACTTCATATTTATTAGTATACTATATATATTAAATTTTAGTAATTTGAAAGGTAATTTATATATAATTAGATGCATTAAGAAGGATCAGACCTTGATTTGTAATTATATATACTGATCAGATTTTTGAAAAAATCAAAGCAATATACTGTGATACCAGATATTATAGTCAATCATATAAAAAATATACAAAATACAATAAGTTATATTTGTGATCTAGAATGGTATTTTGGATAAAGAAGGGTAGTGTAGGAGGATATAAGAATAAATTACACATCTTTGCAGAAATAAAATATTATTGGAAAAATTAAATAATTAATTGTAAATAACATTAAATAGTCTTAAAGTAATAATAAGTACAAGTCACATTTGTAAACAATGAATTCAGTAATATAAATAAAGACTGAAATGGCCCTTAAAAGCAGTATGCTTTGTTGGTTTTATTAAAATACAAGTCCCAATACACTATAATATTTATAATAAAATACTAATAATAGACATAGTACACATATTGTAAAATCTATAAACTTCATTATTCATTTAAGTTCTTGTTTATGTAACTTATTCTACTTGTATTCACTAACCTAAAGTAACTGAAAACCTTAATTACTTACTGGCCAAATCTAATATCCTCTTTTGAAAAAGTTACCTACCATACATCACATAACATTTTGAATTATAGAGTGACAGAGTTGCAGTTATCCCAACCCAACAATACATATTGTTGGGTTCAGAAGATTGTGACTCTGTCACTTTACAATACTAAATGTCATATAACATATGGTAGGTAACTTTTTCAAAAGAGGGTGTTAGATTTGGCTGGTGGGTTATTAAGGCTTTCAGTTACTTTGGGTCAATGAATACAAGTAGGGTAAATTACATGAACAAGAACTTGCACAAATAATGAAGTTGATGAGGGTTTACAGGGTTTATACTGGGATAATGTTAGTATTTTATTATAGACGTTATAATGTATTGGGACTTGTATTTTAATAAAGCCAATGAAGCGTACTGCTCCTAAGGGCCATTTCGGCCTTTATTTATAATACTTTATTCGTCACTCACAAATGCAACTTATCTATTGAAACTATTTACATGTATATATTCAATATCCTTCATTTCCTCCCTTTATCCCCTATATACCCCTTTCGATCAAAATACCATTCCGCTCTTAAATGTAATTTATTGCACTTATTGCACTTATTGCATTTCGTGCATTTTTCACGTGATCGGTCACGATATCCCGGTATCACAATATCAATACATATATCAGATACGTATCAGTAGATTAAATTGATATACATATTAAAAATTGCGCAATTTTATTGGCTGAGCTAAATTTGATGTACGTGTTTAGAGTTGTTGGTGAAACTAAATTGTGCTGGTGAAACTGGTGACTATCCAAATCTGATTGGCTATTTCATTTAATGACCAATCAGATTTTAGATAGTCACCAGTTTCATCAGCACAATTTAGTTTCACCAACAACTAAAGTACGTTACACAAACTGATGTACGAAAAAAATTGTCGTAAAATTTGTTTTCTCTTCTTAATTCATCTTCCTATATCTAACTATTGGGATTAACTCATACGCTAGTTTTGATTAACTTCTATCCAACCGTTATCGTTAGAGTGTTTGTAATGTATGATTAAAATCTAAACTTATTTTATTATAAAATTATTGAATTCTTTCTTTTCCAAAAAGTTTTAATTTAATTTTAACTCTGCAGAGGCAAAAAAAAATTCCAAAATTCCGCTGATAATCGTAGAACTTTATTATATTAGAATTGTAAAAAAAATCAAATTTGGTTAAATTACGACTTTCTGTATCACGCAAATATTTGCAAGAATAACAATATTTTTATTATACTATTAATTTAACTTTTGCAAAGTTTCAAATTTTTTTTATAATAATTTAAACAGAAATATATTGTTTATAGTTGGTTAATGACAATATATTTACATAACGGAATCTCTTTAGAATAGGTGACATCAACAAATTTTCCAAAATCGCAAAAAATAACTATTTTTTTTTCAAATTATCCACATCGTGTGATCGCTTGAACGAAGATTCAATTCCGACTTACCGTTACATATTAAGTTCTTGACCGCGTGATCTTATTATATGATCAATTTTGGAAAAAATCGTCGGAAATTATGGAAATTTTAGATTTTGAAAATTTTTCCTATTCTAAAAGAGATCTATATAACTTATTAAATTCTATATACAATAGTAGTAAATAATTGAGATAAGAAAAAAAAAGCTTATTGATAATTAAATCGATAAAATTTATCATGACCAAAAAATTTGAATTTATTAAAATTACATCAAACAATTTTGGATAAAATGATTGATAGAAAACCCAACCTACACAAAAAAAAAAATTTCCGATCGTGGTTCAAATCTAAACATCCTTCTTTTTTTGCACCTGAAATAATGAACCAACAAATTTTATTCATTTTAAAACAATGATTAATCACTTGACCCTTTTATTGATGCTAATTTTAAGCATTCAATTAAAATAAAAATAAAAATAAAAATTTGATTACTGTACAAGGAAAAAATGACAATATAACAAATTATGAAAATTAAGTATATATATATATAAGTGCATAATTAAAACCAAAATTGCAATGTAAATTCATGAAAAAGAAAACAATATTAATCTATATGAATAATGCATTGTTCATAAAGTGCAAAAAAAGAAAGAAGTCTATTTAGTAACAATTTATTAAAAAAGGAAAATTAATGAACAAGTTCTTCAATCTTTATTGAAGAAGTATCTGGAGGAAGATTTCTGCTCCAAGGGTTACAATGTATATTTTCAGGAATTTCGGGTAGATCGGGAAGATAGAAGAATGCAACAGCAATCATAACATAAGACATCTATAAATAGATAATAAAAAAGTAAATTAATATAATTGAAAATAATTTACTATAAGTAATAAAAAATAGATATAAATTAATGAAACATACAATAAGCATATATCCTTCTAACCAATTAGCTTTACCATCAGCAACTAGATAATTAACAATTAGTACAGCACAAGCTAACACACAGATTTCTAAAGTGTTGAAATCCAAAGTTAATGGCCTAGAAGTTGCCCAACCGAAAAGAACAAGAGCAGGAGCAATTAAAAGAGCAATTTGCTATTTTTTAAAGGAATAAAATTTAAACGTTAATAATAGTTAATAATAATTGTGAGACTTGGAGGAAGTCTATTAAACATTAATATTTTTAAAAAAAGATAAAATTACCACAGAGGTATTGAGGACCAAGCTAACAGCGGTATCGACTTTATCTTTAGAAGCTTCTTTAATAGCATCGTAATGTTCCATAAAGTTAGACACAACTAAATATAAAAGTACATTAGTAACAAAAAAAAGGCAAACAGCATAGCAAAGAGAATAGCATAAAAATGTACCACAAAGAGGTATAAGAACCATCCCAATAAAACCGTTTCCAAGTCTAAAGTTGTGAGCCAAATGTTCAATACTTGTCACAAGGAATCTTGCGCAAAAAGTAATACCAAAAACCGACAAGACAACTCTAAGAATATAAAAAGATTTTAATACGAGCATTAATATGTAAAATAAAAGAAAGATTTAAGACTTACAAAAATACATCATATATGAGGAAATATTGAGCTTTTTTTGGGATATGTTCTTCGGTATTAAAAGCCTTATAAAGAAGAAAAAAGAAGATAGGTATGAATAAATAAGAAGAAAATAAAAGAGAGAAAATAAAAGAGAAATAGAAGAGAGAAATAGAAGAGATTTAGAATATAGTAAACAAAAAAGATTTACAAACCTCATTTGCATGGGTCTTCAGCTGGAATACCAATAATCCAACGTATACGAGTAATAAAATAATAGCAGTAGCATGACTGATATTTTGAATGTCACATTCAATACCAGTACCGGCAGGAGCAGCCAACTTGAATGCGGCAGGAGTGACAAGTGCAAGAACAGCTAGAGCAAGTGTTGAAGCACTAGTTGACACCCATAACTGAGTACTCAAATGAGCATTCTTGGAATCACGACGATTCCTTGGCCAGGAACCAGCCAAAAAGACTACACCAAGAATCTATTAAGTTTGAAGAATAAAACCAAATAAATTATTAAATAAACTACATAAAAATAAATAATTAATCATAGCAAGTAGCTTACCAACAAGATATTACATAAAATAGCTCCAAGTAATGATGAACGGACAATGGAATAGTTTCTATCTATTAAAGCGTAACCTAAAATAACAAGCTCGACAAAGTTTCCAGCACAGGCATGTAGAACTACACCATATGCCTATCATCAAATAAGAAATAATCAGCATAACTAAAAAAAAAGCGTGATAAAAGTTTAAAGAAAAAAAACTTTGTTTTTTTATTTACCGGAGGCAATCTTGTCGCGAAATCATCAATTCCAACAGTCATAATTTTGGATAATGGAATAATTGCCAAAAAATTAAAGAAAAACACTAAAGTCTCATTGAATTGCAATTTCTTCAGAATAATAGCGGGAGGTAAAAAAATCAACAAAAAGTTTGATCTGAAGGCTGTCAAAACGGCTTTAGTATTTTTATACCACTTGACAGCATCTTTAGAAATAACTTTTTCATGTTGAGTTTTATTATGTTTTTCAATGTCAGTAACCTCATTATCTGGAGTGTCTGATTTAATAGGGACATCATAAAAATTAACAACGCTATTGTCGTTGTTGTTGTTGTTGTGATTGTTGTGACTGTTTTTGTTGTTTTCATCTAATACACTTGCTGGTACAGCATTATTTGTGGATTCGTCATCCGATCTTACTGGATAATGTGTTTCGTAATTTGGATATTTGTATGATTCCATTCTTTATTAGTCGATTAAATGTTACTACTTAAGCTTTTTTGTGTAAGGTACTTTTCCTGGAAAGAAATTTACAATCTGGAAAATTAAAGAATCGTATAGTGAATAAGACCTATTTATAATAATTAAGGGAATGTATGCAAAAATGCCGTCTAAAGAAAAAAAAAAAATCAAAATTATTTTTCTATTGAGATATACAAACCTCAAGCAAAAGGACAATTATTTATTAATTGATAATAAGGAAATCATTTCTATGCGCAGTTAACCCCGAATTTTTGATAAATTAATTTTGATGCCCATGTGGTACGACATTATGTTCGATTTGTACGGTGAGTTTGATAAAAATAGTTTTTCGTAATTGCCAAATCTAGTACAATTACAAACACATTTTAGTATTAGTGTTTTTTTTTCCCTAAAAAATCGAAATTATCTATAATTATCTATGCAGAAACGTGTAATAAGTTTCTTTATCTTTATAGTAAGTATTTCGTGTAACCGTTCATCTTATACATAAAATGACAAAAAAAACAAACTGAAACCATTTCCGTATTTAAATCCTGTTTAAGATGAATTTCTAATTTAAGTCATGAAACGAAAAAGAAGTTACTTATGGTGAGATTAACAATCAAATTATTGATAAAACCACTTATTTTTATTCATAATATAGACTTGTTCTTAAAAGTTCAAATTTCGTTATTAAAGTTATATTATTTATCAAATGTGCGACTATGATTATAAAAAGCAATTTCACCTTCAACTACTAGTCATTTTTAGCGAGGAACAATATGCAAACTCTTAGTAGTTGATAGTTAACTAAAAAAGGGTTAATAATCGGACAAAGTTTTTAAATCGGTTGTAAACATGCATCTGCCAAGAAAGCCTGTTATGTAGTTTTATGTAGTCTACGTAGTTTACGTTTTGATTAACAAATATTTATTTCTTAAAGCATTGTTTAATGCGCATTAATCGTTACACATGGATGTGGGGCGAATTTATCTAGAGAATTCTAAGATAACTTTTAATCAGAAATGAAATCATTTATAGAGGTATGAAATTGTCTATTAACCGATTGGTTATCGAGTCTTTTCATAAAAAAGATTAATAGGGGCAAAGTTTACTTTATATGTACGATTCAAAATTTAATTACTGTATTTTAATGAATTGACTCAGTTAATCTCGTGTAACATTATATTAAAACTGTATGTAATGATGCACTGTATGTGCGTAAGAACGTCACAAAATTTTATTCCAGTTTTAATCCGTAATATTTTTTACAAATCTTATTTCAAAGTGCTTCAAGTTTGTTTTACACATACCAATGATGTTTAATACAAAAGTTCGAATTTACTTAATAAGTCGCCGATATAATTTTTCTTTACACTATTTCAAATTTTCATAATTGATTGACCATGTCAAAAAGAAGTGATTATCAGGACCTACAAATTTTAATTTATTGGATATTATTCTTAGTATGATTTATTAAAATGTAATTCAGGAATTGATTTACCAAAGTATAAAGAAGTGCCGTGCAGCGTGAATTACGATACCTGGCGTGATGCAAAATTTTGCTTAGTGAAACTTTAAAAAATCACATATATTACATATAACATGCAGGGTACTATAATTCACGCTGTACAGTAATAAATTTTAAAAAGTTTAACCAGTTAATCATGTGAACAAGTTATGCGTATACTGTAGTTTTACATAGTCCCACGTATTGTCCGTACTTGTCCGGATGTACCGGAGACCAAATAAACTATTTTTGTTATATCCTGATACGTAAAATCCTCCGTATTTTATACTAAAGAATATTTTAACATTCAAGTATCGGTAACAAAATGAATAGTTGTCAAATCCGATCTTATATTTAATTACAAATAAATCTATGTTTAATTATCTGATAACCAATCATGTTTGTAGTTTAATGCGTAATAACGTTATTGTATAATGTTGTACATTTAAGAGTTATTTCCATTCCGTTTTTGTAAATTTATTGATTTAATTCGTTAAACTTGTTCCTAAACACTAAAACGATCATGCAGATCCTGCAGTACTGATTTCACAAACCGAAAATGTATAATTAATTGAAGTTTTCCAATAATCTAATGCGATGATCCTTGTTAAACTTTAGGTATGCATCGGTTCAGCCGGTCCATCTCGGTTCTTACAGCCGGGATCCATGTCGTTTCACCGACAATAGCACTAGTGATTGTATTTGGTCTAAAAACGCTACCCGATTAACCGATCGACAGCTATTAATGAGTCGATTTTTACTAGATCATATTTGTTAAATTTAACACATTTAACAAATGTAGTATTTTTAGCCTATCCTTTAATATATATCTAATAACCATGCAATTGTCAATTATGATTAGTAGTGACGTGCCCTCAAAACTTGCATAATCGATAACGCCCTTTTGAAATTACATTTAAAATTTTAGATCCGCATGCTAAAAAATTAAATTCATATTATAAATATTAATCACTTGTAAGGGCAGTCCTTGGTAGGTATCAATTTATGTGGGTATTACAGTCAACTCTTTTATAACGAACTGACAGTTCTGAAATAAAAAAATTTTCTTTATAGAAGATTATTATGTTTTATTAAGGACCCATTATACTTCTATACCGAGCTATTATAAAAATTTTTAAATTTTGAGTTCGTTATATAGAGATTCGTTATGATCAGTCAGCTATATTTGGGTATACCTACCCGAATAATCTCTACTCGTTTCTTTATAGTTATTGTGTGAAAATTAGTGATATATCCGAATATCAATATCTTCTGTTTGCTCAATTTTTACAAGGAAAATCCATAATATATATTTACTCTTTATACTCCTATAATATTTTTTCTTTGTATTTTTCTCATGATATAACGAATTTCTTAAACCGGTAGAGTTGCTTACAAAAAGTATAAGTTTCTGGCTAAGAAAAAAAATAAAATGGAATAAAGTTCCGTAGATATAATAAATTTAAAGTTAAAAACACTAAACTTTGAATAATATATCAGTTTTATATACGAAGCATACAAAACTAGAGATGTTAAGTAGCCTGATCTGATCTCTTTTAAATTCTACAATACAATTTATATGTGACTAGCTGGTTTAACTAACTAGTTAGTTGTAAAATAAATTTAACCAGTTTAACATAACCAACCCAGGGTCTGAAGATCAAGAAATGACACACACCTAGAATCTCTATCAAAATCAGTATGCACTTACTTAATACGATGCTTAAATTTGCTGTTATTATACGTCTAATAAATTTAATATAAAAAATTTATTTATAATGATGTATTTTTATTAATAATACTATATTTTAATACACATAATTATAATAAGATAAATTGCATTAAACCTTTACTAAAATGCACATATAATTATCACCTGTGTTGTATTATTTCAAAAAATGAATAATTAATTGGTTTAAATGTTCTAAGTAAAAATGTTCTACTTTCCAAAAAGCTTTTCCAACCCTAATTCCAACTTAAATTCCAGTCTTGATATAAAATATTTGAATTAAGAAAAATCTATAAAATATAGAAAACACTATAGGTGTGTTTTAATTCATATTTAACATACAACAGTGAGTATGAAAAACTAATTATTAATTCAAGTTTACTATTTAATTTTATTTAACATATTACAGTGAATAGATATAAAGAATTAAAATAATTATATAATAAGCTATTCGGTTTCATGAATATTTATTATTTAGTTTCATTTAACATGCAACTGAATAAATGTAAAGAACATTTATTAATCTATGTATTGTATTTAAAATAAGATATTCAAGTTTATAAAGATTTGCCATCTAATTTCATTTAACATACTGCAGTAAGTAAGTATAAAAAACTTTTATTAATCTAAATATTTAAAAAAACTATTCAAGTTAATAAATAATTATTAATTAATTTTATTTTAACATATTACAATCCGTGAATATAAAGAACGCTTATTAATCTAAATAAGCTATTCAAGTTCATAAGTATAACTTTTAAGTATTTAAAATAGGCTGCTAACTGTGTCGCTTAATCATAAGTTATATGATTAATAATCGTTTGACCTCTTATTAATTATTTAATATGACAGCTTATGATGAAATTTGCTTATGCTAGAATTTTGGGTCTCCCATTTAAATCTATAATACCTACTAAAATTCGCATACCGAATCCTATCGTGAATAAGCACCACACACTCTACCCCACTTTTTTTAAATATCAGATTAGCTGGAATAATTTGGCTAAAGACTTCATTTGCGATTTCCGCTAATCTGACATTTAAAAATGGTGTAGAGGGTGTGGTGCTTGTTCACAATAGGATACGGTATATAATTTTATTGATGATATTGTGATACCGGAAATCATGAAACCGTGATACCTTATATCGTGACCAATCACGTGAAAAATGCACAAAATGCAATAAATGTAATAAGTGCCGTAAATGCAATAAATGTAATAAGTTATATTTAAGATCGGAAAAGGTATTTCGGGTAGATAAGGAATAAAGGGAGGAAATAACGGATATTAAATAAATCACTGTA